AGAGCCACAAGGTACATGTGCCTCTTGGGCCTCTGCTGGAGTTACACATGCTGCTGTTCCACTGGCTGAACCAGTCCCAGGACCCAGGTCAGCATCAGTATTCGAGGAGCCCACTGAGGGGCCGAGTTCACAATGGGAAGATTCTGAAGTGCCTCCCTTCATTTATCCATGTGCCGTTTCTGAGGATGCGTCCCCCAATGTGAAGGCAGAAGCCAGGAAGACAGAGGACGCCAAGGAAGGGACTCCTGGTTGTCCCCATATAGGACATTCCCTCCTCATTCATCCGCAGGGCTGTCATCTGGCCACACCACCACGGGCAAGGGCCACATTTCCCAGCCTCTTTTGCATCAAGGCACAGCCAGTGCAAAGTCGATGGGCAGGCAGCTCCCAGTGTTGCTCTGAAAGGAGAGAGTCAGGCCTCAGCTTGCCCTTTGACCCTTGACACTGGGTAGGCTGGGGACTCAAAGCGGGGTCTGCAGCAGCTTTTACATCTCCAGAGAGAAAATATGGGTCCAAGAGAGCAGCAGGATGGGAGAAACCACACAGCACAGCACTTTTATTATCCCTCAAAGAAAGGAAATGTTCCTCGCATAAGCGGCTGCATTGGGCGCTGTGTCAGAGAAGCCTGACTTATTTCCTGGCTAAAATATGTAGCACCCCTTAATCCTGGATCCAACATAGGAGATGCAAAGGAGGCCAGGGGGAGGGGACAGCAGGTACCAGGGACAGCCAGGAGGGAGGGACCACAAGCCAATAGCACGGCCGAAGCCGGAAAGCGGGAACTGTGGAAGAGAGTGCTTAGGGATGCAAGGCAGAAGCTGAGTACGCATCTCCGTTGCTGCATGTTGGTTGTTCACGACACTCAGCAAAGGGATTAGAGAACAGAAGGAAGAAGCCAGACAGATACATTGCCAGATAACTGTTTATCCTGAAAATGCTGCAAGGGCTACATGTGTCTTCGTTGTCGTCGGTGGATAGCATCTACATCTGGAAAATTAGAAAAACAAGGGAATATCGGCTCGGTCTATTTGGGCTGCTGCCACAAACTGCCTTTACTGGCATTGTTTATGAATAGCAAAATTGCCATTCAGAGCAGGAAAGCAAAAGTCAAGCTGCCAGTGGTTTGGTGGCAGCTCATGGATTTGGAGGCTGAAAATCCAAATTTGGGGCCGGCACTGTTTGGCCTCTGGTAAGAACTCTGGGCTGCATCCCAGCATGGCATGGCAGAGGAGCAGGAAGGGACAGGCGGTCGTGGGTGGGGTTAAATGTGGGCAGGACCAAACATATGGGTGGGGCCAAACCTGTGGGTGGGGCCAAGACTTGAGCGGCTGCACGCCCTAAACCCACTCTTAGGGAAAATTGCTTCACCCTGCGATCAGCATTCATCTCTTCCCCGGCAGTGGCTTGGTCAGGTTTCAACTCCCCAGGGCCCCACCACTTGATGCCACCACATGGGGGAACCCACCTGCCTTGGGGATAAGCCACATCCAATCCCTAGCAAATGTCCCAGAGCCCTGCCCTAGGCCCCTAGCAGGCCGGGAAAGAAACAGGCATCAGATCAGGAGGACAAACGTGGTGGCCCAGGACACCAGCAGCTTAGTTCCTGGAGATTCTGAAATTGTTGAAGTCCCACGCTCAGAACAACTGCGCTCACTTTAAGCCCCATTAAAGGGAATTGAGGCGGGAGTGGTGGAAATATCCAGAAAAGTACGGCGCAAGCATGGGAGAGTGGGACCCACCCTCTGGCAAACAGAACAGTCCCAGAGTCGCCAGGAAGACATTCTGAGCTTCCGGGGGCTTTGAGGGGGCTGGGAAGGGAGCCTGAAAGGGACGGCCCCTGGCCTGGGGAAGGCAGCATATCGGTTACCTGCGGCTGCGCAACAAATTACCCCAAAATCCAGCCGTTTAAAACTGCAACAAACTGCAACACTGAAGGGCCAGGGGTTTAGCTCAGTGGTGGAAGTTCCTTCCTGGCAAGCTCAAGGTTGTGAGTTCAATCCCTAATATCAAAGAAAGAATGCATTAAAAAAACAACAACAACAACAAAAAACAACAACAACAACAACTACAACACTGGGGCTGAAGCAGGAAGAGAACAATTTTAGCCTGGGCAACTCAGCGAGACCTTTCCTCAAAATAAAGAATAAGTGGGGTGGGGGGGTCTAGCTTGGCGGTAGAGTCCGCGCCTTGTCTGGGCCAGGCCCTTGATCCCATCCCAGCACCACACTGAGTTTTAGTGGGTCAGGACCCAAGGCTAGCCTAGCGGGGTCCTGGCTTCAGGGTCTCCCGAGTCTGTGGTCATCTTTGGCTGTGGCCACCACCTCTAGGTGGCACTGTCCCAAAGGTCATTTGAGGAGGCTATTGGCTGAGGCCTGGGCTCCCGGCCACTCAGGTGGCTCACAACAGCTCATTTCCCCAGAGAAGCCATGTTAATGCACTGATTCTTTTTTTCTTCCTTTTGGTACCAGGATTCGAACTCAGGACCTTGCACTTGTCAGGCAGGTGCTGTGCCGCTGAGCTGTATCCTGGCCCTGCTGTGCTGATTCTTACAAACAGACCTCAGCAGTGACAGCCCATCTGCTGTGCCGTGCCACGTGGGGAGGGGCTGCGGGGTGGTGGCAGGGACCTTCGGGTCTCGGGCAGGTCGCTGCCCTTGTATGTGGCCCAGGCTCCCTGTGTGTAAAGCCGGGACCACAGTCTCCCCCGCAGGAGCCGTGCGAGCATGAAATGAGATGACAGCCACGAAGCTCCAGGGTCCCGGGCTCCCTCACCTCCCGCAGAGATGCTGGGGGAACCTGGCCACCTCCCTACTGGCCTCGCTAAACCTGTGAGTTCTGTCAATTGACTTCACTTTTAGAAAGGAAGACAAGAGGAACCCCTCCCTACTGTTTTGGTTTGGTTTCACCAAACTAAATTCAAAGTTATGCTGTGAAGTTAGGGTTAGGGTTAGGGTTAGGACTGGATGAGCTGCTGACAAGGGTTTGCCAGGATCCCAGCATTGGGAAGCTGGTGGAGCCCAGAGTTGCTCATTGGGAGGAGTCTTTTCAGACAGTGAGGTCCTTAAAAAAAGCAAAAACAGAAACAAAGCCCCGCTGTCTCCCCGAGGCATGGTCTGAATGAGGCAGAGTCCACCAGGCACGTGACCCCGGGGAGGGCCGGGTCTGCAGAGGCAGCGCCAGGGAGGGCGGCGAGGGGGGTTAATCAGCCCACGCCTCCCAAACTCCAGGCATGCGGCGTGGTGTGGCTGAAGTAAATTCCTAACGGGGTCACTTGCAGAGGCTCCCACAGGTGCAGGTGTCTGTGCCCACGCGCTGGTTGGGGTTCTTCTCCGCACAGCGGTCCATCATCTGTTCACTCATTGAACGCGAGTTTCCTGAGCACCCACAGCGTTCCCACCCTGGGACTCCAGGCAGTGGATGCTGATCCTGACCTGATGCCAGCTGTGGGCCCTGGGATGACACCCTTGCCTTGCTGACCTCCAGGACCTCATCTACAACATGGGGAACAACCGGCCCCTCGTAGGGTGACGACCTTTCCTCTGCCCACAGCCAGTCCTTAGGAAAGCCCTGCTGAACCTTGCAGCTGGGTCCTGGCCACCCCGGGATGGGCTGTGGCCATGCTGAGACTTGGGGGCTCCACCAAGGAGGACACTGCTGCAGCACGGGGCGCAGGGGGACCCGGAGGAAAGGGTGAGGCAGCCTGCAGCCAGCAAGTGCCAGCCGAGGGCAGCCTGAGGGGTCTGAGCTGTCTCAGGACCCTGGTGTTGCCTGGCAGGTCCCAGTGGAGGCTGGCAGGAGGACGATGGCTGGTTACTGCTCATGCCTGCAGCCCCAGGCCAGCAGACATGGTCAGGGGTGCAACTCTGTTGCTAGAGACCCCAAATAATTCTGTCTCTGATAGGAGGAGTCTGAGCTGGTGTTGCTCCTCCTTGGGGCTTGCCATGGTCCTGAAGCCAGTCCAACGTGGCAGGAGAGAGTAAGGGCAGGAGACCCCGGGTCCTTTATGGCTACATTAGTCCCTGACCCACTGATGGGACAAAACTAGAGGGTGATCCAAGTATGTGGTGAACATTTATGTTTTAAAGGTGTTAACAGTGGAAGACACATTGACACAAACACCTGTCATAATCCTCCCCGTCTTTGAACACGCTTAGCCCATCTTTCCCTCCACTTTCTGGAGCACTTCTGGAGTCCTTCAGGGGTGTTTGTGCTAGATATGAAACGCTGCTGCCACACGCCATCCCGGGGAAAAGCAGCCTCATAAAAATACCACGCTGTGCCTGCATCCAGTTCTTCACAGGGCTTTGCACACGGGGACTTCGGGCTCAGCCCCAAAGCCAAAATGACCATGAGAGGCAAATATTTTTAGTAACTTCAGGACACTGAAGGCAGCCATGACATCGCAATTAAAGGCCCTCATGACAGAGGACTCTAGATCTGCTTCAGGAAGTGGCAAGAAGGATGGGATGAATGGGTTCTAGGAGAGAGGGAAGGCTCTAAGGCGGGTGCATGATAATGTGTCTTTTAGTATAATAAGCTTTCTATTTTAAACATGCTCTGTATTTTTTGATCACACCTTAGACCTGAGAAAATCAATTTAAAGGAGGAAAGCTTTATTTGGGCTCACGGGTTCAGAAGTTCCAGTCCATGGGAGGCGGGTCCCGTGGCTTCCAGCCCGTGACAAGGCAGAGCACCCTGGCAGAAGGGTGCGCGGAGGAGGCTGCTCAGATTTGGCTGACAGGCAGAGTGAGGAGAGAGCCTGAGGTCAGAGCATCCCTCTGGGTACCGCCTAGGGACCTGCTCCCCGCCCCCCTCCCAAGCTGCAGCTGGGCTCTGAGCCTTGAACTTACACATCTGGACAGGGGTGGGGCTGGAAGGGTTTATCTCCCTCCCTGTTCCTCTCCTCACCCTCTGCTTCCTGTCCCCTCTGCCCTGAGCAGCTTCCCTGCACTAGGCCCCTCTGCCATGCTGTTGTGCCTCAGAACCAGCCAACAGCGGACTGAAGTGTGAGCCAAAATCAGCCTAAAAAATTGGATACAGAGAAGATTAGCATGGCCCCTGCGCAAGGATGACACGCAAATTTGTGAAGCATTCCATATTTTTAACACTATGGTAACTGTTTTTACGTCAGGATATCTTGTGGTGAAACACTATTTTGCTTAAATGGTTATGTTTTGACCCGCGCTGTTGTGTTGTTATGCCCTCTTTTACCTCAATCCCCCTTTTTAAAAAAAAATTATTTACTTTTTCTTTTTATCTTTTTATTTAAGGGAAAAACAAATAAAAATAGCAGGATACATTATAGTAACCTACTTTGATTTCCTATTAACTTGATTTGAAATCTGTATTGTCCTCACCATTTTGTTTTGACTGATTTTCCCCTATTCTGCTTTGCTTGATAGTACCAAGTTCGAAAGTATAGGCAACAACTGTGAAGACAATAAGATTCATTATGATGCCCATTCTGGTTGACTATTATCTTCTTTTAAAGTCCTGTAATGTCTCCAATGCTTTGGTTTTATTCTTTACTGTTTTGTTCAATCTTATTATAACTGGAAATTCTTCTTAAAATAGCAAGAGGCAGTATGGTAACCATTGTTGATCACCTTGTATTTTGTTTTTACATTATCTATTATGTCCATCTTTTTGATTTGACTGACTCTGTTCTGATATGTCGCATTTAGTTTTACTCTCTTCGAAAAAAGTAATAAGAACTGTGGGAGTAATAAAACCCAAAATGTGTAATTGTCATTGTACAAAAGAAAAGAAAGTGCTCTATAGGTCATAACTGCATATATGTTTAAGGGTATAAGATGGATAAACATATTACTGAGTTTTTTTGGATCATTGAACAAAACTGTATGCACTCTCACTGTTTGAAAGTCCACTTTATATGCTTCAAATTTGTAACTTGAACAACTATTTCTAAGATGAGAATATGTAATCTATTAACTAGTGATTTCTTACTGTTTATTTTTAAAATTTTGTATTACTTGTATCCTTTTTCTGTTTTTTTCTTTTTCTCCTTAAAAAAAAAAAATCAGCCTAGGCTGTTGGGTGTCAGGCCTTTTGTCCTAGATACAAGGAACATCATTAAGCCACTGGGCTGCAGGGGAGCTGGGGAATGTGGTTGCCCTGGGCTCAAGGCCCAGCTTCAAACCAAGGCTCCTGTTCCTATGGAAGAAGAGGTCTCACCTGTTTCTGCTGGCAGGAAAATGGTGCTGTTTACCGAGTTCTGTGTCCACACAAAGCCCGAGATGCCTCAGGTTTGCCTTCACACGAGGCCAGCACGAAGCCTGGACAGGGCTCTTCCCAGGGAGCAGCGTTCAGTCTGGAAGCTGCCATCAGGCCAAGGGGTACATGGGAGCTTTGGCCTGTCCGATTCCACCCATCTGACAGAGTTTCGCACCTAGGACCTGGATGATGGGTGGGAGTGGGCCTTTGGGGCCAGACAGCCGGGGAGACCCTGGTCCTTAGGTATCAACCAGGACAAACTCCCTTGGGACCCAGTGAGTGGAGGCAGCTGGGTGTGGCTGCCAGGGCCAGGGGTAGCACAGAGAGCAGGACATCAGCCAGGCCAGCACGCTGTCCAGGCTGAGGACAGAGATCGCTGACTGCCAGGTTCCCCTTCTCGAAGCTTCCAGCTGTGGAGTGATCAGGAGCTCTGGGTGCCTGGGTGGGGACAGTGCCAGTTCCCCTCCCAATTCTGCCACCTCCTACCTATGAGACTGGGGAACTTGCTCATCCATGGCCCTTCAAGAATTGCTGTTTATGAATGGTCATTTGCATAATTTATTTACATGATGATGAGGGGTGGGGCCTAGTCTCCACTGAAGCAAGGGGCAGAAAGCCACTCTGCAGGGGGCGGAGTCACCTCCTACAGCAGCTGCCTCTGTCCCAGGGGGTATGATCTTGGGGACTCTCCAGGGGACTAGAGGGAGCTTTGGCCTGGGGCTACTGCAGCCTTGCTGATCTCAGAGAGGGCTCCACACCAAGGCCTGCTGAGAATAGGGAACTTTTAGTCTTTCTTCTCCCCCAAACCTGGCCTCTCAGGACTCCCAGGTACAGCTCCCCAGAGCTCAACCTTGATCTCATCCAGGTTCCCTGTGGGACAAAGGCTACGTCCCTGAAGTCACCCCTGCCTGCTGGCTCTCCAGCCACCCAGCCACACTACACGGGAACTCCACAAACCCCGATCCTGACCCGCTGCCCAGGCCACGCCACCCACGCCTCTGTGGGCCCCAGCCCCCTCCCTGGAAGCCTCCCCTCCCCTCGGGGCCTCAGACATCTGGGCCAACCCCATAGGCTCGGGATTCTCTGGAGGTGGCTACAGCAGCCTGATTCAAACCATGGAATCGCAGGCCCCTCCCCAGCATAACGCCCCAGTAAATATTTGTGCAAGGGCGACAGTGATACGTCAGAGGCTGAGAGTTAAGGTGGACGGGCCACATTTCATATCGACAGTCAGATGCTGGCTGGGCGTTTCTGGCTGTGTGGTGAGGATGGATGAACTCCTGGACAGCTGGCTGCATCCTGTGGACCAGGCCACCCACTCAGTTCCAATCCAAATTTTAAATTCTTTCCATGCCAGCAACGTCTTTACAGTCTGCTGGCGAGGGCCTATCTCTTGGTCATTCAGAAGTTTTTAAATGTTTAACCTCTTTTTAAAAATTACCAAATGTACCAGGCGTGGTGGTGCATGCCTGTAACCCCCCAATTGGGAGGCTGAGGCAGGAGGAGCACATGAGCTTGAGGCCTGACTGGGCTACTTAGTGAGATCCTGCCTCTCGGGCAAAAAATTGCCAAAAGTTTATGGAGCATGCACTCATGCTGGACTCTTTTCTAACTGCTGTCAGAAAATTAACTTCTTTTCCCATCACAAATATTCAGTGAGGCAGATCCTGTTATATCCACATTTTACAGATGAGGGAACTGAGGCCTTGAAAGCTGGGACTTGCCCACGGTCACGCAGGTAAGAGGCTCAGCTGCAGGACCCCGATCCAGGCACACTGTTTTTGAAAGGCAAGGACACCTTTGCTACCTGCACCTTGGAGCTCTGTACAAGTTGGTTTCTCCCACCCATACCTTTCAGGGTCCAGGAAATTTGCATTTGAAATTCCATGGAGAAGTTATGGGAATTCTAGTGCGCTAATTTTAATCTACCACTTCCAGTGCTACCCATGGCAAGGACAAAGGCACCGAGGTGTATCTACAGTAGTGGGGAGCCAAGGGGTCCTAAGTCCAGCTGGGGTGATGGTCAACTGGAACAAAAGCCTCAACCCAGGGCCAAACCCAGATTTTATTCATTGGTGAAGAGGGCAGTGGCTCGGGAATGAGTGACCATGACAGTAGCAAGAAGTACGTGAGCACTAAGAGCTGGGCATAAAGAGAAGGCCATGGGAGACCAATCTGCACAGCACAGCTCGAGGAAGTACTGGGGCTGGTGCTGCAGCATGGATGTGTGACCCTTTCTGTCCTGGGAGTCACAGCTTCTTCTCTTGCGACTCTGTCCCAGCCCGCAGCATGGAGCCTGGCCCTCCCTCCAGCCCGGCTCACACAGGCTTTTTAGAAATCACAAGTGGGGAAACTGCCTGTCCCTTGCTTCAAAGACTCCACACCAGCAACTGGCCAGACTGACTTACATTGAGGGGATCAGCGGAAGTCCTGGCCAGCACCGCACCCAAACAGTACATGAGACAGGTAGGTTTAGCCAGGATGGAGAGAATTGTTCTTCTTCAAGGAGGGCCATCCAGGTGTCCACACGGGGACCCTAAACCACTGCCCAGCACACAGAGGCCCGGGCACAGGTGGTAGTGGAGACTCTGGTCAGTCCCTGACATCCTCTCCTCCAACTGGGGCCATGGTTCTGTGGGCAGCTGTGGACTCAGCACTATGCTTGCCAGGGAGAGCATGGTGGCCTGGGATCCGCTGATCACACGGGCTGCGCCCTCCTCTCTGAACCCTGAGGTTGTCACAGGACCTGAAAAGACTTTGGGTTTCCAGTCTGTGGTGCACTGGGCCGCAGAGTCCCTTGGTCACCATCACTGCATCTCTAGCCTCACAACCTGCAGGGTGGAGAGGGCAACCCAGCTGGCCTTTAACCTCATTCCACTGTCCAGGAGGAAAACCAGGAGCAAGCTCCTGTGTTTCTTTACCTTGAGGGGTCTCAGGTGGACCCTGCTGGGCAGAAGGGATGTGGCTGCCTGCACCCATGTTATACACAAGGCCCAGAACAACCAAGTCTGGTGCGCCCTGAACCAGCCAGTACATCCCCAACCTGACCTGCGGGGGTAAGGGGTGGTATAGGACCTGCTCCCACCCCCAGGGGAGAAACTAAGAACCCCAGGGCCTGAGCTCACCCACTGGGTGGGGCTGAGCTGCTCCAGCACCCCACGTGATCCAAGCCCTGGATAATCCCTGGATTACTATTATGCACGGCAAGGCTGGACCAGGGCAGCAACCGCCCAGCTGAGAACCATCACTCACTGTATCTCACCAGGAATTCAGGCTGCAGAGACCCTGTGGCCATGCATACTCCTCTCTGAAGAGCTCCCGGCAACTGGGCTGACACTGGGTGCGCTGGTGCCAGGTGCCCCTGCTGCCCCCACCCCAGGATCCCTGCACAGACCTCAAGGGCCCCTTGTGCTTCTTGGCAATTGGGCATCGACTATGTGAACACGGGTTCTGCCGCTTACAACTCCAACTGCCCTTGTGTTTCACTCACAGGAGCCCAGCACCTACTGGTGGGCATGAGGGGACAGGAAAGACCGCCTTCGAACACGAGGACAGGTGTGAGACTTCATAAAAGCTCTTTATTTCAGCTGCTTTAGGACCTGGACCCTCTCCTCCAGGGCAGTCTGGCTGAGCTCTCCTGGGCACCAGGAAGGACGCTCTGGGCTTCCTGGTTCCCAAGGGGTGGCCTCAAGGAAGCTTCTTGAACTCACTCACCACCTGCTAGACCTGATTCAGGCTGGGGCCCAGGCTGGGGACACACTGGTCCCCACTGGTGAGGCCTCAGCTCCAGGACAGGCTGTAGGCAGCTGTGCAGGCCCCAGGACAGGCCCGCAGCTGTCAGGGCTTAGCAGTAACCAAATAAATAAGAAATGCTGCGGACACACACTTGGTTTTTTATGAAACAAACCCGACAGAAGTAAATAAAGGCCAATGGAGCGTGTGGGGGGAGGGGATCCATCTGTAAAGTGCTTTCTGGGACAGGGGCTCTTGCTGGTCTGGCCTGCACCCCGGCGTCCCTGGGAGGGTGAGGGTCACAGTAAAGACTGCATGCAACGTCTAGGAAGCTCAGCGTCCCGAGGGATACAGTAAAGGGACCGCCAGCCCAGCACTGGGGTCTGGGCAGCCTGCACATGAGTCAGGTCCCCAGGCCCCGGTCTGCACTCGGGGCACATGCATGCCTGGCGTCGGCTCACATGGCGGATAGGAAGGGGAAGAAGAAGAAGTCGAAGGCGAACTTGAGGGCACCGTGCACACTGCTCCGCCAGTCATGCTCGATCTTCACATGGCGCCGGGCGGGCTCAAGCTGTGCCGCGCAGTTGAGGCAGCTGATGGCCTTGAGCTCGAAGACCGGCCACTTGCTGCCCAGGCGGCCCTCCAGGATGGTGCTGAACTCGATGAGGCTGCCCTGGCGCAGGCTGAGCAGCACACCCTTGAACTCACTGCTGGCCCGCAGCACAATGTCCTTGGTGATGTCATCCTCCTCGTGGGCGCGGCTGCCGTCGCCCAGCGGCACGCCCACCGTGATCTCAAACTTGTAGCGGTCAAACTTCTTGATGTGGCACGGGTGCTTGGCCAGCAGCTTGAGGCGGCACAGCTCCTCCTCAGCCGTGGACGCGTTGCCGGGGCTGCAGGCTGGGTAGGCCTCGCCATAGAGGCAGCGCATCCAGTCACCGATGAAGAAGGGCAGCATATTGATGGCCGACTCGGCGCTGTTGTCGATCTCTGTCACCCGCACGTACTTGAAGCGGCCTGTCCATGTGACCCGGTGGCCCTGCAGGTGGCTGCACAGGATCTGGGTGCGGGCCATGTTGGTCTCCTTCCAGGCCCGCGGCCCACACAGGTGGCTGTACTGCTGCCAGGTCAGCGTGGAGTTGTACACCTTCATGCCCTCCGAGCGGTACACGTAGAACCAGCAGAAGAGCCCGATGGCTGTGAGCCACACCAGGATGAGCTTGACCACGGAGCTGCGCGTCAGTGACTTGAGCAACTCCACGGCAGAGAAGCTGGCCTTGGTCCACCAGCGGAACAGCAGGGGCACGCTGCAGACTGCCACGGTGACCAGGATCTTGGTGAGGTCCAGGGACACGAACCAGCGGGTGAACTGCACCACGCCCATGAGTGCCAGGCCAGCCACCAGGATGGGCAGGGCAAAGAGGAAGAGGAAGTAGCCGATGGAGGCGCGGACCAGGCCCAGGCCGGTGGACTCCAGCAGGATGACCACGGTGAGCTCGCACCACATGAAGCAGACCAGGTAGGGCACCAGGTAGCAGTAGACGCCCTTGAAGCTCCGCAGCTGGGCCATGCGGAAGAAGAGGTAGAGGAGGTGGATGTAGAGCACGCAGGGCAGGCTGATGTTGAGGGTGACAAAGTGGCCAACGGGCACGGTGTAGAAGGTCTGCCCAAGCATCTTCAGGTAGTGCCCGTCCAGCGGCAGGGTGGGCAGCAGGGACAGCAGCCCGGCAGCCACCTCAGTGACCAGGGCCCGCCTGGTATAGGGCTCGGCAGAGCTGCTGAGGCTCATGTAGCTGGTGACGGTGAAGAAGGCAGCGATGACGGCCAGCTCTGAGCAAGGGATCCAGTCCTTGCTGGCCAAGGGGAAGGAGAAGATGACGAAGACGACGGAGAGCAGGAAGTGGGCGTAGGGCTCCAGGTGGTTCCAGCCGAAGTTGACCTCGGCCTGGTCCACATCCAGGTCGGGCTCAAAGCGAAGCAGCAGGTCGGTGAGGGTGCGGAAGTTCTCCCAGGCCTTGCTGTCCTGGAAGACCTTGAGGGTGCAGATCACCATGGACACGAAGGACAGGTAGAAGAACACCAGCGGGATGCAGAAGGCAAAGAAGTCGATGGTGAGGTTGCTGATGATGAAGAAGAAGATGAGGGCATTGATGTGGTGGGTGGGGACGATGGTGGACAGCCAGTGCATGCCCGCCTTGGAGGCCACATCGATCAGGTACTCCTTGATCTCCATGATGGCATGCAGTGGGTACTTCACCACCTGCGGGGAGACAGGAGCTGGAACCAGTGGGCCTGGGGACCCCTCAACGCCTCAGCCCCCTCGCCCTGTGCAGAGTGAACGACCCGCCTGCCTGCCCGAGCCACAGGGGTCCTCCCACCCGCTCCACCCCACTCCGCCTTGCTCCGCCTGGCCAGGCCTCCTTGGGCCCAAGCTCTGCGTGGTGAGAATCATGAACGTCAAGTCATAAACTATGACAGGGAAAGGCGCATGCCAGTAAGGCCTCCGCAGAGTCCTCCCTCGCCCCGGACACATGGATCCCATCCTTTTCGTCACTTTCTGCAGCAGCCCCAAAGTCCTCCTTCCTGGGTGCCTTTAGTCGCAGGGTTGTGGCTGCCTGGCTCTCTGGAATCCATTCAGAGCACAGTGGATGCGCATGCAAGGCACATTTTCACAAGGTGCCTTCCAGTGGGCACCAGGGGGCAGCACTGTGTGCTTACGGTCACACAGAGGAAGGGCTCCCAGAAGGAGCCCCTTTGGAAAGTGGCTAAACAGGGTGGGATGAGTGTGTTGGAAGCAAGTGGGGAGGATTTGGAAGTGGCTCAATGTGTCTTTGACTGGGATAAATTTTTAAAATATTTTAAAAGTTTAAGAGCCAGGTGTGGTGGTATACCTCTGTAATCCTAGCACTCAGGAGGCTGAGGCAGGAGGATCGTTGTGAGTTCAACACCAGCCTGGGCTACAAAGTGAGCTCAAGGCCAGCCTGAACTGCATAGGGAGACCTTGTCTCAAAAGGGCAAAAAACGTTCAACGCCGACCATACGTACACTTCAATCACATCATGTGCGGCCCATACTGACCATTCCTCTCCAAGTTGCCCTCAGCCCTGCAGGGCCAGCCCTGTCTTCTGGCCTCAGCCCTTCTCTGCTCAGCCTGCCTTCCACCAGGTTCAGGTCTCAGCTGTGCCTGCTTCTCCCTGGAGACTTTAGGCACCTGGACGAAGCCACTGTTGCTCACCTCATCCTTGTCTCCGGCCTCCTGCTTGGGAGGACGAAGCCCTAGGCTGCCTGTCGGGAGCCAGGCTGCAGCTGTCTCCCACTGCAGCGAGAGCATCACCCTCCCAAGGACCAAGGGTCATGGGACCCCCACTCCACAAGGCCATACGAGGCTCCAAGGCTGCGGTGTGAGTGCCCTGGGCCCTACCGTGTCCACCAGCTTGGCACGGTGGAGGCAGTGCCTGCCTCTTGACCAAAGCTGGCTTTGGCTGCAGGAGCCGAATGAGACCCTGAGAGCCAGCTGCCCACCCCGTCCATCACCACAGGATGCGTGAGGCACCCCCACGCTGTTCATAAAGAGGCCACTCCTCACAGCTTTGTCAGGCCCAGAGCCGCCTCCCAAGGGCACAGAAGGGTCCCACTCATCCCCCAGGAGACACCCACTGTGCCAGGGCACAGTGGGGGGGCGGGAAGAGCAGAGGGACGAGGCCCTGGACAGCCCTGAGGTGTGGCATGAGCACAGGTGGGGGTCCAGGGAGTGCGTACTTAACACATGCATTTGACCTTCATTCAGGAAAATCAACAAAAGTGAAGAATAGGGCTGTAGAGAGCCAGGGTGAAGCCTGCTCCGTGCAGGCTGAGGGACCAGTCTTCACTGGCCAAGGAACAGGACAGGGTGCCGTGACTGCCACCAGAGCCCGTTGGACAGCCTGAGGGGAGGAGTGGCGAGGAAGCCCATGGCTCCCTGCTCGGTTGGGCCTGCGGGATGAGATGATCGCTGTCTGGGCTGATTTCCAGGGACTTAGTATGAAGCACGTGAGGCTCATCTGTGCTACCCAGTCGCCTTGGAGAGGGCCTGGTCTGCGCTGCCCCCTGTGCCTGGGCAGCAGGGCACAGCTGCAGGTCGTCTGGGGCGAGCTGCACTGGAGCTGGGGACGCTGTGACGTCTGCTGCCTCTGCTCTGCGGGCTCTCAATAGGAGTTGGCACAGGTCTGGACTCTGCGGGCTCCAGAGGAAGCGTGCATCCTTGTTTACTTCTTGGCAGAAAACCTGAAGTCGCTCTCTCCCTAAAAGGACCTCCAGACTCAGCACTGGCTCAACACCCTCTGCGGTGATGCATGCTGCTCAGACCGAGCCCGGGAAGGATGTCACTAGTGCTCACGCCGGACACCTGGCCCAGCAACCCTTCCCCTCTGACTACACTGGCATTTTCCAGGAACCACAAGTGGGCACCTAGCTTCCTTTTCAAGAGTGGGATGGGAACCAGGGGTCCTGTCTGTGAACCCAAGCTCCACAGGACCAGGCACTTTGCGCCCGGCATCCAGACCCTACAGTGGCCAGGTCTCTTATCCTGGACATGATGCCTGTCCAGGAGGGAAAAGGAGGCCTGTAACTTGTTGCCCCAGGGGAACTCCTGATCCAGGTGCTCCTCGGGGACCCCCACACAAGTCCCTGAGCGTCTCCTGTTCTCTGCTGTCTTCTCTCCCATCTGTGTGCTGTGCACACAGTGGCTCCTGCCTGGTGCCACTCAGCTGACCATCATGCCCTGCTGCGAGCCCTCTGTCCTGCCAGTGGGCTTATTGGGTTTTCAGCAACTACATGCACAGCCCAGGAATGCCAGGCGACAGAGCCCAAGGGCTGCAGAGTGGCCCCTGTGCTCGGAGCCTGTGCTGCCTGTAGCCTTGTCTGGGGCAGGAGGTCTAGTCCCTGGGGACCCTGGTGAGTAACCTCCAATCCAGCCTCATGAGCTGAGCCCGAACTGCTTCCTGCCCTGGCTGCTGGACACCTGCACTTTGCTTATGGTGGGTGCCTTTGAGGAGCTGGCCCGGCCTGTGCACATAAGGCTTCTCTACACGTGAGAAGCAGGAAGCCAGAGCCTGGCCTGCTGTCCACAGGGCACTCTGTGTGGAAAGACACTTGCGGGGCCGCAGCGTGCTTCCCCTACGCACATCCGCCCACCATGGCTGTGTTTGTGGCCCAGCTGAGTAAGAGGGAGGTGGCCTCCTGCAGATGCACCTCCACACAGGACCCAGGAAGTGCCTAGGCATGAGGGCTACAGCTCTGGGACGTCTGTGACGGCCAGGACCTCCCCATCACAGCTTCCCCGTGGCACCAGCGCCCTGGGCAGGGACAGGCAGCCACTCACCCTCTGGTGCAGCGGCAGGTCCTCAGGGCCCTTCCCAGCCAGCTCGTCGTCGTCGTCATCATCGTCCTGCAGGAACAGGTTGGTGGGGATGATGCCCTTGGCGTACTTCTTGGTGATCTCCACGAAGTCGTCCAGCGCGATATAGTTCTTGGCTGAAGACCAAGAGAAAATGGCTAGGGCCTCCCGGACTGCCAGCCATCCGGGATCGGATGCGGATGGGGGGTGGGGACAGTGGCCTGGTCCTGGCTGGGGCAGGAGCCAAGCGAGTTCAGGTGCAGGACTCTTCCCTGGCACGGAGACCAGTGATGACCGGCCTCATGGGGACAAGGGACGGGGATGCCACATGCCAGCCTCTGCTCCGTTAAGTGACCGTCCTCCCAGCTCCTAATGCCCAGCGTCCTGCACCTTTGAGCCACTCCACTGCCCTAAAGACGCTTCCCAGAGACTTCCAACAGGATCAGGAGAGGCCCTACTGTGCACAGACTAGTCCTCCATCCAGCACAATCTACAGGGCCCACTGTGCACCCACTGACCATCCAAGCCAAGCACTTCTCCAGGGACTGGACAGACAACGGCAAGCAAACCCTCGTGTGTGCCTAGGCATGGGGGGACCATCTGGCGAGAGGGACAGACATCAAACAAGGGGCCTGGTGTGCTCATTCCTCTCCCAGCACATCCCTGGCTCAGCCTCCTGTTAATGCTGAGCAGGACCCTTGTGGTCCTTGGCCTCGCCTCTTCTGGAATGGAGCCCAGGCCCTAGTCTGTGGACACAATGTCCAGCAGGGTGAGCACTGCCCATAGAGGGCAGGAATACATCTTCCAGTTTCCTAGCCCTGGAGAAGCCCTGCTCAGTGCTCCCCAGATCTCTACCCCCTCCCCAGACCCTCACACCCCTGTGGCTGCCCACTTAGGCTCTGTCATGCTGTCCCCCTGCCTAGGGCACCCACCCTTGCTGTTGGCCTCTCTGTCCGGCAAGGATAGTCACACTCTTTCCAGTGGCAGAGTCCAGGTCCTGGTGCCCCAGACACTGACAACCACGGGCCCTACACCCGGAATCCATTCCCCAGCCCGGGACCTGCGTGCTGGAGGCGGCGGGCACCGGGGCAGCAGGGGAAGTCCGGAAAGCCCTACTCACACTCGCTGCTGACCAGGCGCTCCAGCATCCGCCGCTGCTTCTGCAGGACCTTGGGCACAGGGCCCGGCTGCCCGACTCCATCTGCAGGGGACAGGGACGGCTGAGAATTGGGGCTAGTTTTCTCCTAGTGGCCTGCAGCCCCTGGGCTTTGGGGCCCTCCATGGGTCACCAAACTCGGGAAGCACAGAGCCTGAGACCGTCACTGGAGTCCACAGGCCTTGCAAGGGCTGACACACCCCCCACAGGGACACAGCAGCGCTCTCATTGGGCAATGGCCCTCCTCCCCCGGGTCACTGGGGCAGCAAGTTTCTCTATGCTTAGCCCTGCCCAGCCCAGCTCCTGGCTCAACCTGCCCTCACCCGTCTCCTCGCCCTCCACCCTGTCCCTACGGTGGGCCCGAGCCCGCGATGCTGCCCACCATGCTCGTTGACCTGCCCGACGTTCTCCAGCAGCTCCGACACGGCCACCTGCTTTTTCCTCTTGGGGTTGAGCTTCCAGTACATGACCAGGGCGGCTTTACGCACGGCGCGCTCCAGGTCGGTCTCGGAAGACAGCTGCCTCACCTGCAGCTCATTCTCGGCTGTGATGCCTGCGGGATGGGCAGAGGTGGCCATGAGTTGCTGAGCCCCTCAGCCCGGGCTGCCTGCACTGGGAGAGCTGCGCCTAACGAATGGCATGGACACGTGACCCAAGGACATCCCGGCAGCCAGGCATGGTGGCACATGCCTGTAATCCCAGCACTGTGGGAGGCTGAGACAAGAGGATCACAAGTTCCAGCCTTGGCTCTCAGCAAGACACTGTCTCAAAAAAAAAAAAACCAAAAAAAAAATCACCTTGAAAAAGGGCTGGGGACATAGCTAAGTGCAAAGGCCCTAGACTCAGTCCCGCACTGCACCGCGTTAAGGTCTGTTCCATGCTGTGTGTGATAAGCACAAAAGGTTTTTACAATCTAAACATAAACCACCATTGAAAACAAAACATCTGTGACCGATTTCCTCCCTCCCCAGGTTTGGAACTGCAGGAAGCTAGGCTTGGGAGCCCAGGGACGGCGCTTTCCTTGGGCAGGACAGGGTGACAGCCTACCCAAGGCCGGGGTGCCCTGCCTCCACCTGGAGCTGCTGGGACACCCCACCCCACTCACCTCTCCTGTCTGCCAGGCAGCGGCGCAGCAGCTTCACTGCCTCACGCCGGCCCTGCTTGGCCGACAGCAGCAGCCAGTCCACGGCCGTGCAGCTGTTGAGCTCCTCGTCGGCGGTGTCTGCCAGTCGCAGATAGTGCTTCCCCACCTGCAGGGCGGGCACCATCACCAGGCTGCTGGACCCAACCCACCCAAAACTCGGGGTGGCAGGAATGGTTCCCACTGGGGTCCCCTAGAGACGGTGCTCTTGGCTCCTCCTTAAGCTGTTCCTGTCTTGTGAAGCCCAAGGCTCATCATGTAGATGGAAGTTGAGTGATGGCCGGTGCACTGAGCGCCTCTGCAAGCAGCCAGGGGCACAAGCCATCAGGATTGGAGAGGGACCAGCCAGCCAGGGACAACACTGCCCACAGGCCAAGTGCTTATTTTGTTTTCTGTAAATAAAGTTTTATTGAAACACAACCATAGCCACTCTTACACAAGCTGTGGACATGGCAGCTTGTTTTGCGCTCTACGAGAAAGCTGAGTTAAAACCACGGTACTCACTACTTGGCCTGGTCCCATCCTCTTACCCTACAAAAGGACAAATAGAGACCCAGGTCACACACAGACCCACGCACATTAGGGTCCTATGTCCTGTTGGCCTGGGGACACTGGGCAGCCGGATGCAGGGCCTCAGAGCCCAACACAGCTGCAACCTGAGGACATGGGCTCTTTGTCCCTGGTTCAGCACGGAGCTGTCCTGATCCTCAGGGATGTGTGGAGCGAGTGTCTTCTGGGTGACTGTCATCACCTACTCGAGCCAGGCACAGGGGGACAGGCCACTGCTTGGGACGCATCCACAGGACCACTGTGGGATGATGAGGGTAGCTGGGCGGGGTCAGAAGCTGCCAGGCCTGGCTGTGTGACCTGGGCGGTCACCAAGGCTCCCTGGCCTCACTGTCACCTGGGCAGGCTGACCCACCTCCAAGGACATCCCAAGCCCAGGCCTGAGTCGGTGACACAGTGGCACACAAGGATGGGCAGCCCCACCACACCTGAGGATCCCTGTAAAAAGCTAAGGACACAATGAACAGAGAGGGATGCACGCCCCGTCCCTGGGCACAAGCCCTCAGCCAGGCTGGTTGGGCAGGGGCTGTGTCCCCAGCTTCCCCTCCATCACCATGGTCCTCACCTCGGTCTGGGCCTTGGGGTCTCCTGCCTTGGCCTTCTCCAAGATCTCCTCAAAGGGGACATCCATGTTGCCTTTAATGGGTCCTGGGAGAAACAAGCAGAACTGTCACAGGGGCTGTCATTCCCGGAAGAGCAGGAGACAAGGCAAGAGTGGGCTTCAGCTGTGGCTGATCCTTCCCGTAAAACCCAGGCTAGGTATAGTCCCAGCACCTGGAAGGCTGAGGCAGGAGGATTGCTGTGAGTTTGAGGCCAGACTGAGCTACATAGTGAGACCATGTCTCAAAAAACAAAACAAACAAAAATCAGGCTACATATATAGAGACAGACACAGACAGGGTGGGCGGTTTCCCTCCAAGCCTGCACTGCTGCCCTCCCTGGCCCATCAATCCCCAGCAGCTCTGAGGGGAACCCTGAGTCCCACCCCTGACCCCTCCATTTAGGCCTGCTCCCAATGGGCTGTAGTTTGAGAGCTTGTGACCTACAGAACAAAAACCCAGCCAACGGAGTGCGTCACAAAGGGAGGGTCTCCTGTGGACACCTCAGGGTGCTTTTTACTTTAAGGCCAGCAGCCTGGCCTGGAGCTGCCGGATACCGGCCACCACCCAGCTGGGCCCCACGCAGAGGAACTCAAGCTTGCAGTTCTGCAGGCTGCAAGCCTGAGTCTGGAGTGCAGCAGAGTGGGTGTCCGCCAGAACTCATGGTGCACAGTCACACCATCTTGCTGTACACTCAGGGGGCTGGGGGAGCCGTCTGGGGTCTCTTTATGAAGGGCCCAATCCCCCTTCCACCTGCAGGACCAGGAACATCACTCCTATGGCCCCCGCCTCCTGGTTGTCACAGGCCAGCTGAATTTCCGGTCAAAGGGCCAAGAGTCACACATCTTGTGCTGTGCTCTACTGTTCCAAGTCACCCCAATTTCCAAAGCATCGAGTGACTCCATCCATTTCCCCAACAGTGGGGATTATTACAATAATTGAATTTAAAAAAAAGTCATTGTTACCAGTTTCTTTGATTTAGGAAACCAGTACTCACGGGGAGCACCTGGCTTCACGGGCTGGACTATCCTGCCCAGCTCCATCGTCCAGCTTCTGGCTGAGTGTGGAGGGGCAGGGTGGACAGAGATGCCACTGTGAGCAGCTCCTGCAGTTTCTGCCTGTCCCCCAAATCCCATCACATCCTCACCTTTGGCCCAGCCACTGAACAGCTACCAGCTCCCTGGCTGGTGGGTGGATTCCGCAGGGGAGGAGATGGTGGGCTCCGTGGGTCACCCCAGGCCACATAGGGCAGCCCCGGGTGCTTCCCCAGCAGCCCGTCCTATTCTGAGCTCCCCAACACAGCTGGCACTGAGCCATCTGCTTTTGCTTTGTCACTGTGACCACTCGGCTCCGACTGAGTTTGTTCTGTTTTCAAATGCAGGTCAGATGTTCTTACAAGAGTGAAGCGGTAAACACGCAGCCCCTGAACGTGAAGCCACAGCTGTCTCTACGGTGCTGCACCCCCAGCTCCTCACCTGGGAGTCTTCTGGGTCATACACCCCCAGGGACCCACTTCCAACTGCAAGTCTGCTATGGCACCCCCAAAATCCAGTCACCTGCCCAGAACGCTACTCCTGAGCACACAAGACTCCTGAGGGACATTCAGACAGAAATTGTCACAGAGGTTGCAACAAAACCTGCTCACCTGACTGCCTCATGTCACTTGCTGCCCTGGCCTCTAGCGTCTGTTCCTGTGGCACAGGTGGCCGTGAAGGCCTGAGGGGGTTGTGTGCCGGGCAAAGCGCGGGGTATGCCCTTGTCCCATGGGAACCAAAATGGTGGGGAAACAGGGTTCCTCCTGCACAAAGGAGGCCCCGACACAGGGCAGGGAGGACCACCAAGGCTGCACATGGGGAGCTGGAGTTATCAGGGGAGTCTCCACATGGGGCACTCGGGCCATCCCACATCAGGGTATGACGCTGTCTCTGAAACTCCTGAGGGGACACAGTGAGGCCGACACCTGGGACAGGGACGGAGGCTGAGGGTTCTCCCACCAGACACTGATGGAGCCCTGGTTCAGGGCTGGCCTGGGTACCAGGAGCTCAGAGAGCCACCTGCCAGGACAGCCTGAGGACCACATCCTGTCTGGACAGGTGCTAGGGTAAGCAGGAGGTTAAAAGTAACAACCAAAGGGTGCACAGCCAAGGTCCCCAACGATCTGGACACCGTCTGCACAGGAGCCTGGCCAGGCCCAGCTGGGGACAGGTCACAGTGGCCTTTCAGTCATCCACATCATTCTGCGCCAAGACTTGCACTCCTCAGGCTCTGCCCGGGTTCCCTGATGCCCCTCAGGTCTCAGCCCCACTCCCCAATGCTCAGCTAGCCAAGGACCCACCCCCTACATCTTGGGTGTGAGGAATGCATCCTGCCCAGGGCCCAGCACTCTCTGCTCCCTGCCCAGGCACCTCTTCCAGCCTGATCCACATGGGCAGCAGGTCCCCATGTGCCAGGAGACTGGCCAGGGACACATGCAGGACAGGAAGCACAGATGGTAACCTGCCTCCAGCCTTTCCTGAGAACAGGGACTGCAGGACCAGCCTGGTGCTGCCCATGTGCACAGGCAGGGGCCGCCTCCTCTGGGCAGCCTTCCTAATGCCCCTTCTGGGAGCCCCAGGAGCTGCACCCCAAAGTCACCAGCACGGATTTAGCCTCCAGGACACTGGGACTTGCCCAGGGCTCCTGGAGGACAGGGCTGGGTCTCGGCCCCTGTGACTGATCCTGGCCTGCCCTGTCCCACTTCTCATGCACTTCCTGAGGCTGTACCGTGGAGCTCCCTGGCCACGAGCGACCCAGACGCGCACTGAGTGTCACCCTGGTCACTGCCGGCCCTTGCAGCTAGCTATTCACTTCCACTGGGGACAGAGCCAAACGCAGACCACATCTGCTTCCTGATCACCGTCTCTTACTCTGGTAGCTGCTCTGCGGGCTGTGTGGCCTTACTCAGATTGAGACCCAACCTCCAGCCCTGGCCTCTCCCTGCAGCCAAGAGGCAGCAGACCAGGTGGCACTTGTGGCCAAGCCCAGGTCCCGGAGCCAGGCACCTCGGAGAATCTTGGAGGCAGATGGAGGAAGACGGTGATTGTCCAAGGAGATGGCAAGGACTGAGGGAGCCCCCCTCGGCCTGACTGGAACCCCCTCCAGCTCTGCCAGTAACAGGAGAGGTAGGTACTCTGCCGGTCACGAGACTCTGAGCCTCAGTTTCCCCACACAGGCCCACTGGGCAGGGTCATGAGTTGCCCTGCAGGCAGGAGGGGCTGGGGGCACCATAGGTCAGAAGCCTCCGTGTGGCTGGAGCAATCACTGCAGGCCTTGGGCCTTGCTCAGGGAAATGGATGACAGGGCTGACGTGAGCTGGAGAGAGGGGGTGAGGGAGGTGACCTGATGATGGCAGAGGGGACCTCTTCATGTGCGCTCCCCAACTGGAGTGCGAAGGCCCCCAACCACCCTGCCTGAGTGACAGAGGAGCTCAGCACATGGGGGACATGAGAGCCATGGGTCTTCTCTACTCTGCACAGTCTGTGTACTGCAGGGCTCCCTGGGGAAAGGAAAACCTGCACTCCGGACCTCGAGGAAACACAGCCCTGCTGTGACTGCTGCCGCCCATGCGCTCCAGAGAGCGTGGAGCTCTGTCCCAAAAGCGGACAGTGAGGCACGCAGTGTGGGTCAATGGCACTGACTGGAGGGGACAAGCCCGCTCCCATGTGGCTCAGGACCCATCATGGGGACCTCTGGCCCCAAGTCACCCCTGTGCACACACTGAGCCCTGCCCCAGGTGCGCCCTCTTCCTCCCAGCTTCCACGGCCCCAAACAAGCCCTGCCCCTCTACCCTCGGCTGGTTGCCAATCCGTTCTGGTGCCGGAATCCTTCCCTCAGTTTCAGCTGTGCTCCATGCCTGCCAGGGACAGAGACACAGGAGAAGGGAGACAAAAGCCAGCTGTGGACACAGAGAGGAGCACTTCCCATGAGCACCTGGGGCAGGGAACAGCAGCGGCCACAGAGGAGCAATGCCACTGCTTGGGAATGCGTGTGCCACCAAGTGTGAGCGCGCAGGGGCAGCAGCTCTTGCTGTGGCCCGAGGTCAGGAAGCACCAGAGGCAGGAGAGCCCTGGGTGGGTGGCACATCTGGGATGGAGGTCCCCGGACGGGCCTTGAGCAGGTAGGAAAGTGCTGAGCCCAGCTAGGGCCTCTCCGGGAGGAGAGGCAACTCAGGGCTTCCGACAAGCACCCAGGGGCTCTCAGAATAGGGTACTGAGCACCCCACGAGCCCTCACTGCATCTGCAACCTGCGGCCTATGTGGGACTGCGCACAGGGGCAGGGGCAGATGCAGGGTGCAGATGTGGTCCTACGGCGATGACCAGGGGTTCCTGGGCCACCCGCACCTGCTCACTGAATAGCATGGCCACTGGGCTTCCCAGCTCGCCCCTTACCAGCTCTGTCCACTCCTTCTCGGCTCTTGGCATGAGGGACCTGGGGCTTGGTGGGGGCAGCTGCTTCTCCAACATGCAGGCCAGGCCCAGCCTGAGGTCCTGAAGCTCGGGGTGCCTCGCTCCCCTCCTGTTCCACAGAGGCAGTGGCGTTGAGCCGAGCCCGTGCCTGGGGCTGTGGTGGTGGTGGGGACTGTAGGTCTAAGGGGCTCAGTGGAGATGTGCCGGAGTCCATCCTGCCTGGGGGAAAAGCAGAGGGTCAGAGGCATGCCAGGCTCCAGCCTGCTCCAGCTTGCAGTTTTGGTAAAGAGAAGAAAAAGCTGGGTGTGTCAGCACATGCCTGTAAAACCTGCACTCAGGTGGCTGAGGCAGAAGGATGGCCACAAGTTTTTGAGGCCAGTCTGGGCTCTAGAGCAGAGATGGGCGGCGCAAAAGAGCACTCTGGGATCTCGTGAACTCACAGCACTGCAGGCCCAGCCCCAGGTCAAGGAGACTCATTCCGGCCCTCCTGCTCCATCTGCTCAGGGCAGCTCAGGCCCTGCATCCCCACCTCCCAGCAGCAACCATGGGAGTGAAGCACTGAGCTCGGGGCCTGGCCAAAGGGCAGGACAGGGGTCCCTAGTGGCAAGTCACCCAAATCTGCAGAAGCGACATTAGCTGGGACAGTGAATCTCTGCAGATGTAATTAAGCTGAAGATCTTGAAATGGATCATTCTGGATTCAGGTGGCCCTAAATCTAGGGACTTGTAAGAGACACATGAAGACACAGGATGCTTCCTGAAGGCTGATGGCCACCGCCTGTCACTGGAGAGGGGCAGGGACAGAAGCAACCAGCTCGGTGCACACATGAATTGCTGCAGCGTAAGCCACCAAGTCCCTGTGACTGCTCACAGGGGTTCTAGGGAGCACATACCCTGGTACAGAGCACACAACCATGAGGAAGTCAGACCCAATCCTCTGGCCCTGGGCCCTCCCACAGGGCCCTAGTCACAGAGCGAAAGTCCCAGAGTTGTCAGCACACACTAAAGAGCAAATGGATGCACAGTGTGGTGGTGACACTGGAAGGGTCTTCTGGAACACACCAGAGAGCACAGCTGATGGGCCGGCAGGCTGGGGATAGGTCAGCAACCACCAGGCCCATGAGCTGCTTAGCAACACTGAAAACAGCTCCTCAACTCCATTAAGTGCACCTGTGTGAGCCGTGGACCATGGAGCAGAAAGCTCTGGAGGACCCAGGGCCTGGACCAGCGTCCAGGGCACAAATCCAAAAGCTGTCAGAACTGTACACAGAAGGTGTGGGGAGACTGCCTCTGCAAGCTCAGGGTCACACAGGGAAACTGAGACACACAGCCAGGTGACTCTCATATTAAAGTGGGTGGCCCTGAGCAGCCTGTGGCCCTGCTGCACCTCCATGTCCTCGTTGGGGTGGGACATCACCTTGGCGACTGGGTGTCTACCCAGTGGGACCAGACACTGCACTGTATGAGGTGGCTGATATCCCCTCTCCAAGCCCTGCCCCGGCCCAAAAGGGTGGTGCTGGATGTTTCTGGATACCACTGCCACTGAAGGGACAGGGCCAGGTCCCATATGCCAGCCCCACACAGCTCCCTCCTGCTCCACTCCAGACACCCACAGTCCTGAAGAGCAGATCTGTGTCAAAGAGCAGCCAGGATCTTCAAAAGGAAGCGTTGCCTCCTTTTTTTCCCTTTGTGGTCCTGGGGATCGAACTCAGGGCCTTGTGCATTCTACCTCTGAGCTACACCCCGGCACGAAGCTCTCCTAATTGTATTTTTTTGTCTTTTTTGAGACGGGGTCTCACTATGCAGTTCAGGCTGGCCTTGAGCTCACTTTGTAGCCCAGGCTGGTCTTGAACTCGAAACAATCCTCCCACCTCAACCTCCCAAGTGCTGGGATTACAGGCGTGAACCACCACGCCCGGCTCGAGCCCTTATTTTAAAACATCCCTGCAGGGGCTGACTCAAGCCCAGAAGCAGTGGCCAGGCCTCTTGAATTCGAGCATGGGCCCAGGGCGCTGCCCATTAACTGCAGCCTCCCGCAAGCTTTGTGCTGAATCACAAGGGCAGACCCCAGGGGCCCACGGCCAGCGGAGCAGGGAATGGGCACTGGACAGCCAGGCACACAGAGCCACAGCTGTGCCGGGTGGAAGGCCACACTCTGGCTCACCCTGTCCCGTGGTGCCCATGCCAAGGACGGCGGCAGAGGGTAGTCACCTCTACCGGGTCCTGGCTTCTGACAGGAGGGCAGTGCTCATCACCACGGACACTAGCTCAGCGTGTCACAAACTTCCCCACAGGTCCCGCTCTCTGGCAGATAAGCGTGACATCATCCCTGTGTCTGGGTGGAGAAACTGCCTAGCCCTTGACTGTCCCCCCATTTCACAGCCAGCAAACCGAGTCCCAGACAGATGAGAGACTTGCTCCAGGCCAAACAGCTCACAGTGCCAGGGCCAAGATTCGAGTCCAAAGCCTGAGCAAGTGTACTTGTGACAAGAGAGCCTTTCTACCTCCATGGGCACCCCACCCCACCCCTTCACCCCAGAACGCTGGCTGCCCCGCACCGCAAGGCACAACTGCTGACCTTGCTCTTGGGAGCCTTTCTGCACCCCCCCCCCCCAAGCTGGGCAGCCCCAGAGCCCACTGCAGTGGTGCCTCCCGGTAACTCCTCCGGGGTCCTGTTTCCTTACACAGCCGGCCTCTCCGGCCTGCCTCGCTCTGCGGCAGCAGTGGGAGGGACAGCGCTGTCCTGACCAGGGACATTATCACCACGGCATCGATTTAATCTCAGTATCTGAGTTTCCCGCCCGTAAGGCAGGGGCAGCACCTTCTGCATGGCTGCTGTGGGTGGGACAGAGGTGCAAGTGCTCGGTGAGCTGTGAGGCACTGAGGAAAACTCTGAGTGTTTCTCCCATTCAACTAAAAAAAAGTCTTAAAAAGTCAGCCAAAGTGAAACCACTTAGAGGAAAACCTCCGGTCAGCAAGGGATGGATTTCCGGTCCATGGAGGACTAGTCCTGCCCGTGGTTGGACACCGAAGGCCAAGAGGAATCCATGCAGAAAGGACCTGTGTCTACTCCCTCCTTCCTGACCAGTGCGACCGAGAGCCCAGAGGGCAGGGACTGTGTAACAGGGCTCGGGCTGGGGGCTTAACGTGCGTGAGTCGGCCTGGCCCTGGAAGGAGCCTGAGCAGGGACAGATGTGGCTGTCAGACTTTAAGTGAGTCCCTCCCTAGATGCAGGCATCCCTAGAGGACAAGGACCTGTCACCCCGTCTGTCCTCCTCCCCTGACCCCAACTCCCCAAGGGGCAGCACGATGGTGCCATGGTGTAAGATCCTGAAACACGGAGGGACTAGCATTCCTTCCCCGTGAGTGCCAAGGCATATTTTTATCCCATCCAAACACAAACGCCAGCACCAAGGAGCTCAGCTGAGAAGCTGCCACCCCTGAGGGAGGGTTGCTGTGGCCACTCAACTGCTGAGACACGGAGCAGAGTGACCACGTGTGACCTTCCACCGGAATGCTCCACGCTCACTGCCCAGGCTGGCCCTTCCATTCTCTGTGGGGCCACCCCCTCCACCTCGGAGCCAGAGGCCAAGATGACCAGTGCCTGCACCGAATGGGAATCACGGAGACACCTGTAGGGTCATACACAGGGTCCCCCTCGCAAGTGGCACCCTTGGCATCCACAGAGGGAAGAGTAATGAAATTGAGGACATCTACAGCCACAAAACGTGATCTCATATATCGAGGTGTGAAGACAGAGAAATGCTCAGAGGACACTGTTCCCAGGGTAAGCTGTCACCCTGGCTATTTAGGTCAAAAGCAAAGTTACCTGTAGAAACAGATGGCAGAAAATACCCCTTCCCCATGTTAATCTTGTTGTCTCTGGGTGAAAATTCTCTTAAAACTATATTTCTTTGATTTTCTTTAACGTGCAAATTCACCCCCCCCCCCCGGAAATGCAGCAAAGTGTTATTTTAAAACCCACCTGTTACCAAGCCCCAGGGAAGCAGGCCCCAGCAGGTCCTCAGCCTGCAGTGCCTCCCTGGCCTGACCCAAGCACAGGACTCAAGACAAGGGCACAAAGCCCTTGGTAGATCCCAGGTACCTATTTTTGCCCAGAGTATTAAGGGCTGAACCAAGGAACATTTCAGCCTTCCCTAATGTGGCAAGGGGTACAGGAACACAGAGCAGAACTAGGCCTGCTGCCACACCTGGCCCCTGCTCTGGGCCGGTCAGCAGGCGTGGGCTGAGAGGAGGTGTCCAAGAGAAGAGGTGGCCCAGGGACAGCGAGCCAGCATCATGGCTGGGAAGGCGCAGGGCCTTGGGATGTAACTGCTGAAGGGGAGACTCAGGAAGGAGAGGCTCTGTGAAGGCACGGTAGGTCCTGGAAGCCTGAACACCACCCTCCCGCCCCCCACCCCGCTGTGCCAGGCCCGGATGACTCCTGCCCACAGGCCTAGCAACAGCAGCTTAAGGAGCATCATGGCTGCCTGGTCCAGATGTGATTGGGGAGATCCCAGGAGGGCTGGGGGCTGTCCAGGGAGAGGCGAAGAGCCCAGGCCAGGGCAGGCAGGAGAGACAGGTCACAAATACAAAGCCTGTGAGGCACTGATGGCACAAAGCCATTTCTCCCCTGAATACGAAGAACAGGGGACTTCCGGGAAGAACATGGCCTGGCTCAGGCTGGGACTACAGCCCACCTCCTGAGTGAGGGAGGCGGGAGGGAACGCTGTGCCCTGCAGACAACAAACCGTCCTGTCTACCTATTGGTGCCACTAAAGTCCTGTTGGGCATCTGACCTGCAGCATTGGCATTTCTGGGGGCCAAGACTGGACCGGGTTCCCTTTTGCAACCAGCTCCAAAGGCTGGGGTGAGAGCAGCCAGAGCTGGAGGGGTCCTACATTCTTCCTCCTGGGAACAGAGGTGACACAGGGACTTCCAGCCAGCCCTGCCCAAGTCTGGAGGAGGCAGGAAGAGAGCCAATGGAATGTAAAGAACTCTTCCTAGATTCAGAAGCAAAGGGCTCCCTGGGCCCCCTTTTCAAAGGTGGATGTCTGGTTTCTGGGCTCCCCAGGGGATCTGGGGCACAGCAGCTCTGAGTGATGGATCCTGACAGAAAGCAGGATCCTTTTACAAACTGTAAAGCCCTGGGCTAAATGCCAAAGGTCATTGTCCAAGGTGAGGGGAGGCGGAGCCACACTTGCTGGGGCTCCCAGACCTCTCACATCCTCCTCCTCTGCCCCCAGCTTTTTGTATCACCTGAGGACTGTAACTCCTATCCCAGACCACAGAGAGGGCCAACGATGGGGGTGTGTGTCCAGTTTCTTGAAGTTTCCTAAAGTCAACTACAAGACAGAGGTAGGAGGACACTCCTCCCTCACAACCAGGAGGTTGGGCAACGTTCTCCAGAAAGCTGCACCTACTGGACTAGAAACTAAATTCCAGAGGGTGGGATCCACACCACAGCCCGGGTCATTGGAGGAGAGGGACAGGGTCGCACCAGACCAGGTCCCACCAGGTAGGGGGTAGGGTTGTCCCTTTCCTCTCCCCTGTACTGAGGGGAGCCCCGACCAGGAGAGGAACTGTCACACGACCTCTAGGTAGGCTGGCGGGGTTCAGTCAGCTCGGATCCCGCAGAGTACTAAACCCCGATTTCCCCTGCAGCCCTCTCTGGGGCCTGTATTTTCCAGCGGGCAGGTGGGTTCGAAGGCGGCCCTGGGTCCCCTGGGACTGTTGGGGGCAGTGCATGACGGGGCAACTTGTGGGGGGCGCAGGCGGTGTGCCTGCTTGCCGCCAGCAGCCCTGTCTCACGCGCCGCTGGGCTCCCGAGCCGCTCTCCTCACCCTCAGGGGGATGTCGCCGTGAGTTCGCGGGCGGAACGGTGCTGCAGGCGAGGGCCTGAGAGACCTGGTCCGAGGCTGCGAGAGGGGCGCGCGCTCCGGGAGGCCCCGATCGGCCCGAGTAGAGATCACCTCGGGCCCCGGGGAGCAAGCGGTACCCCTGGTCCTCCAACTTCTGGAACTTGCAGAGATTGGGGAGGGGGCGGCCACTCATCGACTCAGAAGGGGAAACCGAGGCACGCGGCGGCCGGCGCCTCCCGGCAATCGGGACTCTTCTGCCCCAGCCTGCTCCCCGCGACCCACCTCGAGACTTGTCCTTGCCCGAAAGCACTCACCAGCCGCGAGTGGGCCGAACGCGGTGTCGCAACGCCCTCTGGCCTCCAGGCGCGCCGCAAAGTTAGTCTGGAGCCACGGGAGGCGCGGGAGAGGAGAACCGAGCGCGGCCGGCGGGGCGCTGCGGTAGAAGCCGGCTAGCTCGGCCTCCGGCGCCAGGGGGCGGGGATTGAGGGCGGGGTCTCCGACAGCTCTCCACTCCCGTTGCGGCTCCTACGGCACAGCACCGACTCGGCCCGCTGGAGCGGTCAGAATGCCCGCCAATCAATGTGCACTTCTGCCAATCACAGCACGCCTCGCCTGCTGAGGCTGGCTCTCCTGAGCAGAAGGTCTCTGGGCATCTGGTGGGCGGGGCCGCCCTAGCGAAAGTTTCCGAGCGGAGTCGGCCCGAACTGGCTCTCCCGAGCCCCGCCCACGGGACGTCCTGCAGTAAAACCAAGACTGAGTCAGTTGCTGAACAAGTGGTTGGACTCACTGACAAGTCTCAGTCCCGCCTCCGATTGATTATACTCGCAGCTGTGATTATTAACAAATAGATTTTGCACCCTCGAATTTCGGTACTGCTGTCCATACAGAGGGCTTTGCCAATATAGCAGCAGGGACAGAAAAAAGTAGCTTTAAATCCACAAGATCAGATGCAGCGGGGCACAGTTCCCCCGAGGGGATTGCAGCACGCGGGAAAATATGCGTTAGTCCAGGGAGGGGTGCGTGGAGGCTCAGGCGGTCGGGAGATCGGCGCTCGAGCCCGGCCTGGAAGGGAGGTCTTGTCTGTGGGCTCCACCTCTGGTCTTCGGAGCCAACCCGCGGTGCCGGTGCAGGGCTGGCGCTGTCAGAGTGCAGCTCCAGGTTCCCCAGAGGCTGCGCCGCCCACGGATCAGGAGCTAATATTAGGGGTGGACGGGTGGGCTCTGTTCATGGAACACATTTTCTCCTGCACCTTGTCAAAGCCGCTCGTGTCCCCATCTGATGAGTCTCAGTTCCTCGGTCCCCATCTTCTGCAACCCTGCGTGGCTCCCAGCGGCGGGAGGAAACAGCGCTCTGAAGCCTGGCTCTGCCCGCGCCCTCTGGCTGGGTTTTCACGTGAAGAGGTTTTTAATTTCATTCCAGGGACTCTACGGGATAGGTGACGCTGGAACCGTTTTTTATTACTGAGAAGATTGTACGTGCGGTGGGGTGTCACGGGGTGCTGCTCTACAGGTCCGCACTGGGTACTGTTGAAATCCGAGCACACACCTGTCCCCTCGCCCCTGTCATTCCTTCACGGTGAAAGCGTTGGAAGAGCCTTCTAGCTTCCTGACACACACAGGCTATGTTCATTGTGTGCAGCCGGCCTACCATGCAACAGTACATCAGAAGGAACTGCTGTGCTGGCTCACCATAAGGGCGCCCATTTATCAGCCTCTCTCTTTCCTTCCCTCCCTTCAAGCCATAGCTTGTTTCTTAACTTTTGTTCTGTTTTGTTTTGGTGGTGGTTAGGGGAACGGAACACAGGGCCTCATGCATGCTGGCACTGAGCTGCACCCCCAGCCCTAATTCTTAATCTGGAAAAGCTTCTGTCTCCCATCTATTTTTTAAGAGTTTAGAGATCTCTTCTGAGTTTCTTTTATTTTTGACTCACCTGTTCTGCCCTGCAGCTAGGAAGGAGGGCTGGGCTCTCCCTGGGTGTCTCCCTTGCCCACCTGGGGACCAGCAGCCCCATCTGCACTTGCAAGTCAAACGGCCTTCCCTAACAATGCAGCGTGATTTTGCTAACTCATTCTTTGCTATCTACAAGAAAGTCCTCAACTTCATCTCCCACGTGCTGCTGGTTGGCAGCTGCTCAGGAAACCACAGCAATTTGATCCTAGAACAACACAGCAAGTCCAGCCTAGGCAGCATGAGAAGACTGTTTCAAAAAACCCATTTTTTAAAATTCAGAAATTAAATAATCAAGGTGAGGACAAATTAGCAAAGAGGAAAACAACTTCAAGTAAATACAAGGAGGAGGAAAATCATCCCATAAAAGGAAGAGGACTTGAAAGACAGTTCCAGAAAGGGTATCATGTAGTGAACAGGAGCCCAGAGAGAGCTGGAAGGGAAACACAGATTAAAGAGATTCTAAGCAGAGTCCCTGAGCTGAACTTTGCTGTGGTTCCAAACTAGGATTCAGAGAAAGTCTTGCAACATTTCAGAAAGACCAGGCTGACAGTTCTATCACAGGCCACAGCCAAAGAAAGGAAAATCTGGGCACATCAGCTTCCTAGGGGCACTGGAACAATGGTCCAGGCGCTCTGGTTATATGATCAGCTGTTCTTTCCCAGGCTGGGACTCATTTGCCCAGGGAAAAAGAAGGAACATTCCCAACAGGGGAAGGCAGAGAGAAGGTGCGGTTCTTACTCTTTTCAGAGGAAAGACAGCCACGCAGTTCCCCTCTCACAGATGTGGCTCAATCACAGTAGAGATCAGACTTAGAGCAGGTCCCCAGGACAGGAAGTACTAGAAAGCAATGCCCTTTGCCAAATGTACAGTCTAATCTGAGAGTGTCTGTAATTTTGTGCTGTGATTGCTAAGTGAGCAGGCTTGAAACATAAGCCACATGCTATAGGGGAAATCTGTATTAGCTTGAAAAAACTATATAAAGTCTGTCTTATCGTGGAAGGGTCAGAATGGGCTACAGTCACCTCCGGCTGAGGGGGAAGAAGGAAGTAAGAGGGCCTGATTTGTTACCTGGAAGACAGCAGAGAAAGAGGCTCCAGGCCAACACCCTTATCATTGACTTCTAATATGCCCTCAGGGGATGAGCCAGATTGTGACTGCAGGAGATAGAAATTAGCAACCAGTAGAAAAGAAAGGGCGGCCTGTCAATCAATAGGTAGAAGCTGGGTGGGGCCAGGGAGAACAAACCGTGAGGAAAATGAAGGAAGGGAAAAAAGAGGAAGCGATAGCCATACTAATGCAGTTCAACAAAAAGAAACAAAATGACATGGAATAAATAACCTGCGAATATCAGCTTTTGGGATTTGATAGAACTGTGGCGGACCAGCGGCAGCTGAAAAGATAAGAAGTATGAAATATAAATGACCTTTATTTTGAGAATGCGGGGAGAGTCACCCCTGACCCCCTGGAGCATGGCATTTCCCCCTCCCAGGGGTTGGCGATCTCTCCGTGGAACATGTGGAGTGGAGGCTTATAAGTAGCCTAGGTTTGGGGTGGAACCTGAGGGAGTATCAGGGATGCACAGGTAGCCCATTGGTCTTTGTTTGGCGCCATAGTTAAATTCCTAGGGGTGGGGGAGATAGGAACTCTTTGGTTCCGCCTAAGGCTTTACAGGCTACAGTGTCCTATCTGGGCCAAAGCTCTTTCATATCCCGTCTTATGATTATTATTATGAAAAGGGGCAAAGATTTCTCTCTTTACTGCTTCCTGCTGGCTGGGGGTGCTGTACTGGGGTCGAGGGGAGTCGACAGGATGATGGTTGATTCCCAAGTAGAAGCTGGTGCCAGTTGTTTTAGTCAGGACAGCTTCACTGGTGAATGCACGTATGTTAGACTGGAAAAACAAAGAGACAAGATGTTATGAGGAGACATGTCACTGTCATATTTAAGGACCCAGATGAGGTAGAAGGAAAGGTGCATTTGATTTAGACATGTCATTATATCAGGACCACACTGAGGTAGAATCATTGCTACAGTAAGGTAGAATTCTGAAAAATAAGTGTGGGGTTAGGAGGAGTGAAGTTATGAGAGGTGATTACTTCCCCATCTGAAAGGGTAAAAGTTAAGAGGGTAAGGCTTGTCTCTGGTATGAATAACATTGGAGTCTTTAGGAAATACTGTTAAGAGTCCTGCTGTAAAAAGAATAAGAAATTAGAAACCAAATTGGATAACAAAACATGACAGCCTGAGAGTTGTGGCCTTTGTAAGGCAGAGAAGGAGATGAGTAGGCAACAGGATGATTAGATCTAAGGCTGGAAGGGCACCACTTAGCCTGAGTGATGTGAAACCAGGATGGCAGTCTAGCAACTTTGATCACTGTTGAGGTTGCCAAGAATATCAGGTATGGGTCACTGTAACCTGGTTGTAGTCCTTGGAATGATTTGCTGTAACAGGATTTTAGTAAGTATATCAGTAGTTTCCCTGGTTGTGGGAAAGGCTTTTATGTATCCTGAAAAAGTATAAACAAAGTGAGAAGACAAAAGTCTTGACCAGGGTTGTCTGAGAAATTAGTGAATAAGAAAGGAAGGAGGTGGTCTAGTATCATTAAGGAGAGGTTTAGTAGCGATAACAGGTGTAAGCTCTTGAGACCTCAGTATCTGGGTCAGCCTGTAAACACAAGAGAATAAAAAGCATTTTTAAGATTTAGGACTGTAGAGTGAGTGGTGGAGGGAAGATTTGGCACCACTGGGTGGATTGGGAAGAAGCAGTCTGAGACCTGTACAAAATAGGGCCTGTTTGTATATGGTATAGGTTGACCCTTAATACCTCCTAGGGATCAAGGACTTACTATAGTGGCCTGAAAACTCAGGAAGAGCTCTGCATATATGGCCTCTATGTCCACAAGTATAGAGAATGTCTTACCTGAGACTTTTAGTGTGACTTGGACTCTGAGACGGACACCCATAAAGGGGGCTGTTGTTGGCCCTGAGCCACGTCAGTCTTCAGCAGCAAGTCTAAGCAGATCTGTCGGCGATGAATCTGGCAGTGTTGGCATTTCCTGTGAGGGTTGGAAATTAGGATGACTTACCCTCTTTCTGGTGGCTAGGACAGTCCAGTAGCCCTGGGGCAAGGTCTCAAAGGAATGCCAGGATGGGGCACTCTCTTGTCCAATGTCTTCTGCTGCATTTGAGGCATGGTCCATGGGGGGCCCAGGCAGCTCCACCTTGTGTCGATTTACCTGTCTCAGAACTCCAAGTGTCACAAGTGTTATGGTTATCTCTATTGTTGGAAATACAAAAAGCCATATTAAGATCTCTATGAGGTTTGAAGGTCAAGTTTTGCCTTTTTGTTTGGGATTTGGACTACAGTAGAAGGTATCTGTAGAATTAAGTAAGTGTGCAGGAGTCAAATATAATCAACAGGGTATTTATAATTTTAGTAATGACTTCCCATAAGGAAGACAGGTCCAGAGAATTTTAGGAATTGACATGTTATTTATATCATATATATGAGTATCTCTTTATGTTATTAAAATGTCTA